AGGGATGGGTCTTTCGAACTGGCTACTGGCCTGAGTCATTTATCCATATGCAAGTGAATCGGAAGTCCTTAAACAATCGCAGATTAGATTGCACTTTCACATTGTAGAATAAATAGAGTCAAAACATCTATCCCACAAATGAAGACATGACTTAAAAATGAACCCAAACACACAGACGAATCACTCTAGAGTTCATGTTTAACCTATTTTTAATCAAGCAAACCCAAAACTAACCGAATCCGAAGATCTGCATGCAGAGAAGACGAATGAAGGTCAGAACAGAAAGAAATGCATCAATTTTTAAGTCCAGAAAAAGCCTTCTTCGGTATGTAGTCTGCACATATACGTCATCCCAGATCTTCTCCGTTTAATATTTCATTACAAGTGCACAGGCACGGCTAAAGGCACTTCTGTAATAAACATGAACAAAGACAGGGTATTCCCTCGCAGACGCCAATAAACTTTGATTTCCTCACCACAGACATCACAACTGCGTCTTATCTAAGCAGGCACGCTGGGTCACTGTATGTTGCAGGTGACAGTGGGTTTACTAAACACACCCTAGAACGCTCGGTTGTTCATTTCTCATGAGGCCCGGCGGCAGCATCTGTGGACCGGCAGCTAGAGGTGAGTGCTGACGCATTCAGACAGCAGGAGGGGGACAGTGGAAATCAGCCCATTTCTCCCTCCCTCCCCTGCCTCTCTTTTTTCCGCATATTGCTTTCTTCCAAGCTGCTGATAGCGTTTACACCAAAGTGCTTTCATTTATGAGTCAAAAATACAGGTTTTCTAGGCTAGAAATGCTCCCAGATTGCTTTAGAATGAGGAAACCATACAGTGGGTTTAAGTTGAGAAACAGATTTGTATGCTAAGACACAATATCATGTTGTTAACATTTTAAAGATGTTGGCAGATTTATTAGCTACGTTCAGTTCAGATTAATTACACTGACCTCAATCAGACTGATTGCATGCTAACGGAATGGATGGGACTTCATGAAGGGGATTAATGTTAACCGCAGGGCAGCTTCAGAGCTGATTGATTATTGGTTATTGATTATGCTGCATCGATAATTGGATGAAGAAATACATGGAATGGAATAAAGGAAAAGGGCATTTTCGCAGGATTTTACAAAAAGGTTTTGCTTACATATTTGCGAATATATTGCTGTAATTTAACGTAATTTATTAATCTTGATATTTACATAGATAAAATGAAGAGACTATTTATATTTAATTACAATATATTTCTGTGTTTTATTTTTTTCTCTCTGTAAACTATACTAACGGCAGTAATTAGTTATTTAGACAACACAATGCCCATATTTAAAGATCAGAAGAAATCAGTATTAAGTAAAGAAATCAGTACTTGTAAAGCCCTTGTGGCAAGCTCAGATGAAGGAGTGTTTAATAAGCGACCCTGGCAGGAAATTATACATTTATAAAAAATTTAAAAGAAAATATCTTAATATTAAAAAGGAAATATACAATTGATCTCATCCAAGTCATAACAAATGCCCTTAAATAATGTAGTCTAGTTGTCAGCAAGCATCAGTGTTTATTGAGATTGAAATAACTTTAAAAAACATTGACATTAAGATAAGAAATATTGTTATAGCTAGCTACACTTGTGACTGCTTTGGTAAATAACGCTCGTAATAAAAAAAAAGCCTGATTTTCGTTCACAACAAATGAAAACGTTTGTTATTATGACCAAAATTTTCTAAAAAAAAAATGTTATCAGATTTTTTTTAGAATAAAACATATTAATATTTACTCAAACCCACACAGAACCAGTTAATCCAGAAGAACTGAGAATTTTCAACCTATGTTTATTACCGAACGCTCGTTGTAGACATCATGGGAAGACTGATCATGAAGGAATGTGTAGTCTGGCACATTTTTAACCCTCGACAAGTCAAGATTTTATCAAGACAAAATCGCATAATCTGACATGGTGACTTTCGTAACCGACAGTAAAAACCATGTGATCTGACTGGGGCTTTAGGAAAAGCCTGATTTTTAAATCACAACAAAGGTGTACATTTGCTATTCTGACCAACTGTTATTTTCTGAAAAAGAAATAATAAATATATATATATATATATATAAGAAATGAAATTGGACATTTAAACAAATGTTTTATTCTATAAATTTACCCAACAAATCTGGTTAATCCAGGAAAAAAGGGTAATTTTTTATCTATATTAATAAATGCTGTAAATTAGAATGGTTTATTTCATGATAACTATTGCATTGATTATCAATAACTGAATAAATAAACAAACAGAATGAAGAAAAACTTACTATTAAGAATAAGCAACATATTTGTTATTCTGACCAACCTTTTCTAAAAAAAAAAAAGTTATCAGAGCTTAATATAATATTACATATTAATATTTTACTCAAACCCAGACCAAAAACAAATCCATAAATCAGGAAAACAGAGAATTCTCAACCTACATTGGGAAAAAAATAAGAGAGAATTGAAAATTCTCTGTATTTATGTGCTTGAGTAATGAAAAATTATAGATTTATTATCTCCCTGTAAACTATTAATGGTATTTATTACCTATTTTAAGTCAAATTATTGTTATTTAGAGTTTTTTTTTTTTTTTGCATAAAATACATAAATGTATCATTTTTAAAGACAAAACAATATCAATGTTTTAACTATAGAAGAATAAAGAAATCAGTACTTTTAAAAAAGCCTAATTTTTCAATCACAACAAAGGAACACATTTGTTATTCTGACCAACCTTTTCTGAAAGGAATCAGAGCTTAATATAAGAAAACATAATAATATTTTACTCAAACCTTTACAGGACATTTTCAGAAAAACTGAAAAATGTCAATCTACATCAATAAATGCTGTAATTTTTTTATGATAACTATTGTATTGATCATGTTGTGTCAATAACAACTAAACAAATAAAAAGAATATAATAGGGGAAAAGTGCATTTCCTTTTATATTTTACAGTAAGGTTGTGTCAAAATATCAGTGAATTTATTCAATTGTGTGAGTAACTTCATTTATGGAGCAAATTAAGAAAGCAATTGAAAATTCTCTGTATTTATGTGCTTGAGAAATGAGAAATTTTAGATTTATTATCGCTCTGTAAACTGCTGATGGCATTTCTTTCCAATTTTAAATTGAAATATTTTGATTTAGAACTGTTTTATCATAAAAGACACTAATTGATTACTCTTTAGGCAACAAAATACCAATGTTTTAACCACAGAAGTGTAAATAAATCAGTACTTTAAAAAAAGGCCTGATTTTCAATCGCAGCAAAGGAAAACATTTGTTATTCTGAACAACATTTTCTAAAAAATGAAATGTAATCAGAGCTTTTTTAAAGTAATACATATTAATATTTTACTCAAACCCATACAGAACCAATCCATTTAATCCAGAAAAACTGAGAATTTTCAACCTATGTTAATAAATGCTGTAAAATAGCACTTTTTACTTGAAAATAACTATTGTTTTATGTTAATTCAATTCAGTTCAATTCAATCAACTTTATTGTCTATCCCACAGGCCTTAGACAATTGTCTTTAGACACAGGCTCACACACAACAGCAAAACATGAATACACTTACACCAATACTTTAAAAATCCTATTTAAAAATGGCAGTGGGAATAAATGTCTTCTTTACACACACAGCTTCACTGCAATCAACTGTTTATTTCTTGTTGATGCTGGATCAATGCTGAAATGTTACCAATGTTAAGCTCTGTCTAAATCGTCCTGATGTCACCAGCTAGAACATCTTTTCATCGCAAAACTGTGGCAACACAAATCCCTCTGGATGCAGTGAGGGATTGACAGATACGTGTTCTCTTGATCGCACCCTGATTTGTTCACAAGAACTGAAAGGGATTTAAAGCGCTGATACCCTGTCAGACACAATCCTCTTCCTGAGAAACACTCATCCCAACATCTGTATCAAGCATCATATTATATAAACTGTTTATATAATGTAATAATCTGCCCCATTATTCTATCCATAAAAGATTTACGACCCTTCCTAAATTCAAAATCACTTCATCATTCAATAATACCACCTTATAATTGAGCAAAATCCACCAAAAAATCAACAAGGTGTGGGATGTCAGGTATAAAATGTCTGAATAACATCAATTTTTCCATCCTAGGCCTGAAGATACGGCAGGCTTCGTCAGCACTGCAGGCCGCAGAGGCTGCAGCATATCTAATAGCACTGAATCAACAACCTCCACACATCATTCAGGCATCAAGCTCCAGTCGCTGTCTGCTTTTACTATCTGCGCTGCTTAATTTCAGCTTTGACTAACTCTAAAATTCCACATTTTACCGTCTACATGAATTTTTTTTTCCTCAGAACAAACAACAATTATACTGTAGCTGCAAAATAGTGACTGAAATTGCAATTAGACAGATTATTTGGAAATCTAAGATGCATGGAAACTCATTAAGTTGCATATCGGACATCTACAGTCCACAATCTGTGAAAGAAAGCAATTTCCTTTTCAGTGCAAGCATGTAATACATACTAAATCTAATAGATTACTCAGTGATATTTTTTTATGCTAAGGAACAGCCATTCAGTAATGAAAAAGCCATGCCCCACCCTAAGAAATAAATATGTTCAGCTAATTTATCTTTCCATTTATCAGGCCAAGGTCCCAATTGATTCTCTCTCTCTTTCTCTCACTCACTCATTCACTCACACACACACACACACACACACACACATTTGCAAATGCACGTAAAACAAAACAAACACACACATATATAGTCATACTAACCACCATAAATAAATGAACATAATGCCTGACCCCAGAGCTTTAATTTGTATATTTAAAGATTTTCTTTTAATTTTTATTTTAGATTTGGCTGCAAATAAAAATCTGAATAGTAATGTGGAAAAAACAATAAATAACCCAAGGCTATTCTGAAAGAAGTGCATAACAAATAATTGACATGACTGTGTTATCCGCATTCGGATCCTACCTCATCTCTCCAGACGAAACAAGACAATAAAGTCATCAATATTAATGGCGTTTTCTGCCCCATTCTTCTTCCTTCTCTTCTTAGTGTTTGATTTCTGCTGCGTTCTTTGGATGTCTGTTTTAAACTACTGGATTATCTCCGAAAGGATCAAGCAAAGGGGATGAAGTGCTCTGCTACGGGATACGAGCTGCTGCGATCGCGCAATGTTGCGATATCTCCTGTGTCTGCAGATCTCAGTGAACTGACAAGCGGCTGCGGCTCCGCGGAGGAAAACCAAACCCTCCTCCGCTCAGGCTGCGCAGAAGCCGGCCGTCCTTTTGCTGGAGAACGGCGCTATCTGCTGGATGAATGTAGAAATGCATTAGGGACACCTGGGTGTGTGAAAATAAAAAACCTTCTAAAGATCGCTTAGTTTTAATCAGAAGGCCTAAATTTCTCTGAGTGCTTATTTTTAATTTACATTAACATAGATTTTTTACAGTTCACACTACCTTGTTATTACAGCGACACATATTGCTCATGTTGTAGGTTTAGGTTTAAGCTGCTGGAGGTAGGCCTAAATCAAGATGTTTACAATATGCAATTTGAGCAAACTTTCTTTCATAAATAACAAGACAGGTATTGGTAACATGTTTTCAGACCTTTATTTTTTTTAAACAACACAATAACAATGATATAACTTTAGATAACCCCTGACTGAGAAAGAAAACCTTTGTCATTCTGACAACTATAATTTAAGGAAAACATAAATAAAATAATGATTACAACAATTCATATACACTGGGAGTTTGTGTCTGTGTATTATTTATTTATTAGTTAGCCTTAGTGTCTGAGAAAAAAAATACTATTTGTTTAGGTAATTTTCCGTTCCGTTTAGTCCTTTTGTTATTTAGGGGTCGCCACAGCGGAATGAACCACCAATTTATTCAGCATATGTTTTACGCAGCGCATGCCCTTCCAGCCGCAACCCAATAGTGGGAAACACCCATACACTTTTTGCATTTACACACAAACACTACGGCCAATTTTAGCTTTCTCAATTTACCTACTGCATGTCTTTGGACTTTGGGGGAAACCTGAGAACATGCAAACTCCACACAGAAATGCCAACTGACCCAGACAGGGCTAAAACCAGTGACCTTTTTGCTGTGAGGCGATCATGCTACCCACTGCACCACCGTGACGCCTTAGTTTAGTTATCATTCATTTATTCATTTTTATTCATTCATTCGTTTTCTTTTTGGCTTAGTCCCTTTATTAATCTGGGTTCATCACAGCGGAATGAACCACCAACTTGTCCAGCATATGTTTTACACAGCAGATGCCCTTCCTGCTGCAATCTACCACTTGGAAACACCCATACACACTTACATTCACACACATACACTATGGACAATTTAGCTAACCTAATTCACCTAGCAGCAGGTCTTTGGACTGGAAGAAACTGGAGCACCTGGAGTAAACAGTAGACCAACATGAGGAGAACATGCAAACTCCACACAGAAATGCCAACTGACCCAGCCGGGGCTCGAACTAGCAACCTTTTTGCTATGTGGCAATCATGCTACCCACTGTGCCACTGTGACGCCTTAGATTAGTTTTATAAAGGTAAAAAAATAATAGGCCTAATAATTAGGGACCCCCTTTGCTTTACAGAAGATGGCATGAAAATGTAAAAAAGTTTATGACACTTCATGAACCAGAAAAAATAGAACTGTCTCAACAAGAAAAAAATGTGCTGCATTTCTTAACCCCTAACGTCGCTAGTTAACACACTCCATGCATTTTTTCAATACATGCCATCATTTTTAAATATCAACCTCTACCAAATAGTTGATATATTGGTTTATGGTGAAAGGAATCAATATATACACTATGAAAAATCCCAAAATATGAAGTGTAAGACCAATTTATTAAAGAAATATTCAGCATAAAACTATTTTAAATACTAAATCATCTTTATTTTTTCTGAAGTATGGCATCAAATATTTCAAATTCTTTTTTAACATATTTTCTTGCTTTTGTTTGTTTGTTTGTTTGTTTTTATTATTAAAATAATAATTATGGTATGGTAAAAATGGTAATTATTATTATTAACATTATTAAAATTATTAATATATATATATATATATATATATATATATATAATTTTGTTTATTTTTGTCCAAACATACATATTTACCTAACAATTCCGAAAATCTCTCCCACCAAAAATAAACCCCAACTACTGCCGACTCTTGTGTCACCGAGCTCGGAGTGTAAACGCCTCTGTGTGGTTATGTACGGAAGTAGTTTGTTTGTCAAACCCAACGAAACTATCGCGTCACTTTAAGCCCTCAGGTGAAGGAGATGAGAGGACGCAGTGGAATTCACTTTATGCAACTCTGAAAGTTCCATACAGAACTTTTATAACTGGATTATTCCTTTCAAACTGTCAAGGGGAAAAGACGTGGATAAACTGATCCGAACATCAGACGCGCGCTCGTCTGTTTGGTGCCTTTGGATCGCAGAACTAGTCCTGGAGAAACATGAGTTCTGCCGCGTATGCACAGGTAAGTGCTTTTCATATTGGCAGCTTGGTTTAAATGTTGTATTGTTGCCCTTTTTTTCAACTTTATTGTTCCTAATGTGAAACTGATAGGCTACATTTAACCAGGTCAGGTTTGTAAAACCCCCTGAACAAATTTAGACCACATAACTTGAATATATTCATTTAAAGCGGTATATGCCAATATATGATTTGTGAAGTGTTGTTTTTATTTATTTATTCTATCATATTTTCATTGTCCTTTCGTTTTTTCCTTACATTGTCACCTGTGAGGATAGATTATTGTTAAATTTGAGTGTCGGGGCGTGTTTGATTCAGTGACTCTTTTTCAATCAAACGATTCCTCAAGTGATTCTTTCACAGGTTACTCCCAATAATGGTTTGAAGGCTTGAACTATGGAATGAATCCAGTTCTTGCATGTGAACGAAAATGATTCGTTCATTTAAACGATTCACTATCAAGATTCACTAACTCCACACGCCCATGTAAAGTTTGTGTTCTTATAGAGAGTCAGACATTAATTTGATATCTGACAGGAGAAGCTGAAGTGTTTGTTTGTTAGTGTGTATGTGTTTGTATTGTAACACAATAGACACGTGTGCGCGCAGTTTTTTTTTACATGACACTAGACCAAATCAAATTGCGATTTTTATCTGATCAAAATTGCAATTCAAAATGTGATTTACTACCATTTTATAAAATAACTACAAGTTTTATGCGGTAGCAATTTTAAAACGGCACCAAAAAAAGACCTAGCATTATCACAAAGTACTCTAAATATGCTATTGTTATTTAAAACCTCGTAAACATTGTTGACATTTTTCCCATTAAAGTTGTCAGTTGTCATGAGTCCAATTAAATGATTTATAGACCATTTTGGTTTCAAAATAAATAATTTTTTACAAAATGAAATATTTGCATTGATGTAAACTTATATTTTTGTATACTTGCCATTATTAAATTAAAAATAACAATGTTTTATATGTATAGCTTTGTATTATTGTTTTAGTATATATATATACTAGGGCTACACAATATATTGTTTCAGCATCGATATCACAATGTGACATCCACAATAGTCACATCGCAGGAAGTGCAGCGCTGAGTTTATATGTTGGGATTAGTTGAGCATGAGCCACAGATCAGAACACACGATTTTTAAAGTCACCAAAAAGTTTAATCATAATGAAGTAAAAGTTTATAATTTGCATATGTTTTAAGGCCTCTGACTGTGTAAGCAGATAATTTAAAGTATTCAGGCGCATGAAATTGTACTGTTTGTAACTAATGAAAATGTATTCATTAAAATATTTCTATAATGAAGACTATAGTGTTTAATTGTATAATTAACTACATCTTGTTGTACAGTCAGTGTTGCTACAGTGTTTGTGCGTTTGATTATTCTGTACCTGAAAAGTATGATGTAAAATATTTCACTTCTATCTTCCTAGTGATATTCCAGAACTATCCCATAATCTTCCAGAATAATCCCAAATAAGTCTAAATTAATTAATTCTTTCCAAAAAGAGCTATTCGAGCTATCTGGCGAATTTGTATTCATATCGCAATATACTGTATATCACAGCAAAACAAAATATTGCAATGTTTTTGCGATTTGAGTTGCCTTGGTCAGTTGGTTTGAGTTCTCTTCATTTATTGGGTTTTACTGTGGTCAAATTGCTTCGTTTACTCAAATTCACAGTACTCATTAGGATTAGTTTTTGAACTTGCATAGTTTGTTGCAATATAGATATGTGAGCAATTCCATGCAAAAGTCAACCTTGCCATGAAACAAATTATGAACATGCAATGAACAAAGTCAGCTCTTATTCTTTTTAATACACAGTTTAATACACAGTATTTCTACAAAGTATGTTGCATACAAAACATGTTTACAGATTAATATTTTTCTGGTCTCATAACTCAATTTCAATGTAATGTTAATGTATTCTTTCTATGCAAATTTTTGTTTTGGGGTTTTACGACAAATGTCACATCAGTAACGCTGGAATTGCTGAAATAATCAATTTTATATATAAAAAGCATTTGCTGAAAACATGACTATATAGAGAGTATGTTTGTTTTGTGAGCGGCACAGAAATCGGCAAACTGTTCTCAGAAACTATTAAGTATGTTTTTCATTCATTTTCTTGTCGGCTTAGTCCCTTTATCAATCCAGGGTCGCCACAGCGGAATGAACCGCCAACTTATCCAGCAAGTTTTTTACGCAGTGGATGCCCTTCCAGCTGCAACCCATCTCTGGGAAACATCCACACACACACACACACTCATACACTACGGACAATTTAGCCTACCCAATTCTCTTGTACCGCATGTCTTTGGACTGTAGGGGAAACCGGAGCACCCGGAGGAAACCCACGCAAAGGCAGGGAGAACATGCAAACACAAAACAGACAGGCCAACTGAGCCGAGGTTCAAACTAGCGACCCAGTTACCTTCTTGCTGTGAGGCGACAGCTCTACCTACTGCGCCACTGCCAACAACATTGTCCCTTCATATAACCGCACAGTTACTGACATTGTGATTAATTGTGCAGGCCTACATGATAATAAACGTGACGTAATAAAGAATTTAATTTTCCATCTGTAAACGCATCATTGACCATTACAAAAATGTCTAAACCACTAATGAAAAAAAAAGTTTTCATTTGTAGTACATTGTTGTCATGTAAACTTCTCCAAAAAGCCTTTTCAGCAGTTTAAATTACAATGAACATCTCCATGACATATTCAAATATCTAATACATGACACTCTAGGATTTCTAGGGTTAATCTCTGACATTTGGTTTGCCGTGTTATTCCCTAGAAATTAATTCCTTGGTTTTGTTGTTGCTAGCACCTTGCTTTATATCAGTAGGAATGAAAGACTGTTCTCACAAAAACATTCCCCTGAAGCAAAATAAGGCATCTGAGATCCATTTAGTGACACAGTTTCAATGTTGTATTGTCTGTGTGCTTGTGCTTATGTGTACATTCTTGTTGTATAGTTATAGGAAATGAAAACATGTCTGCTCTTCATAGTTTTGTCCTGGAAATACAGAGCAGTGGCTTCAGTCATTTCCATAATTAGTTTGTTTCAGTTGTCATCTGCAATAATGACAATATGGCAATCCATTGCTTACGGGAGCAAAAACATTTTGACAAATAATATAATAATCTTATTGAACACTCTGTAAAAATGATCTGTTAATTAACAGCTTCTGCATTTTGTGATGCACAATTGTGAATTGCATTAAGGGACCTTGATCTCTGCTATGTTGACTTCTTATGTTAAAAAGCATAAATAAATGAGGAAAAATTCAAACTCTAACAACATACGGAAAACTGCTAATTTATAGATATTTTTAAATGTGTTTAATGTTTCTGCTGCCAACTGTTTTATCATTATTAATCAAACAACAAAAGGACAAAATCACTTACTGCTCTTGACTAAAGAACTTGCATAGCTATAATTAAAGTTTTTTTTCTTACAAAGAAGATGCTTAAAGCACAGTTTGGTTTTATTTACAGGGAGGAAAATAACTGTATACAGTTGAAGTCAGAATTAATAGCCCCCCTGAATTATTAGCCCCCCTGTATATTTTTCCCCCCAATTTCTGTTTACCGGCGATAAGATTTTTTTCAACACATTTCTAAACATGATAGTTTCAATAACTAATTTCTAATCACTGATTTATTTTACCTTTGCCATGATGACAGTAAATGATATTTGACTAGATATTATTCAAGACACCTATATACAGCTTACAGTGACATTTAAAGGCTTAACTAGGTTAATTAGGTTAACTACAGGTTAGGGTAATTAAGCAAGTTATTGTATAAAGATGGTTTGTTCTGTAGACAGTCGGGGGGAAAAATAGCTTAAAGGGGCTGATAATTTTGACCTTAAAATGGTTTTTAAAAAAATTAAAACTGCTTTTATTTTAGCCGAAATATAACAAATAAGACTTTCTCTATAAGAAAAAATATTATCAGACATACTGTGAAAATGTCCTTGCTATGTTAAACATTATTTGGGAAATATTTAAAAAAGAAAAAAATTCAAAGGGGGCTAATAATTCTTAAACTGTATAAAATCCTGAATTATTAGCGACCTTGTTTCCTCCAGTTTCTGTTTAACAGAAAGAAGTTTTTTTTCAAAACATTTCTAAACATAATAGATGTAATAACTCATTTTAAATGACTGATTTAAAACAAATAAGACTTTCCCCAGAAGAAAAAATATTATAGGAAATACTGCATAAAATTCATTGCTCTGTTAAACATAATTTGGGAAATATTCATAAAAACATTTCACAGTAGGGTGAATAATTTTGACTTCAACTGTATATCGATTTTAATAATCGTGATTAGAATTATGATTAAAAATAATCGTGATTATGATTTTTCATAATTCAGGAGTACTAATAATTTTGACTTCAACTATATATCATCATCACGATATGAGATTAATTGCATCATGTTGTGAATTTTTTTTATACACTGTAAAACCAAACAATCAGCTTTATCAAATGAAATGAGTGTAGTCAACTCAACATTAACTGAAAGTTAATTCTACTCATTTAAAAAGAGTTTTGAACTCAGTGTTGAAGGTAATGAGTTAATTAAATACCTCATTACTTCAACTTAAATGGGGTAAGTTCACAATGCTCATAAAGATTAGTTTTGATTCAAATGGTTTGTAGCAATCTGTTTCCTCAAATGGTTTGAGTTTCCTTAAACTGTTTGGGTTCTACTGTACTCCGTTGGTTTAATTTCTCTTCATTAATCGAGTTTTACTGTGCTCAAATTGCTTCTTTACTCAAATAGATTAAGTTCACAGTACTCATTAGCATTAGTTTTTGAACTTAAATAGTTTGTTGCAGTCGGTCTCCTCAAATGGTTTGAGTTAACAGAACTTTTAGGGTTTTACCAGCCAGATCTCACGAAGAAACGTAAGTATTTTACGTTTTGTCAGTTTAGTGGCTAATTCGTACGAATTCA